CTACAAGAAGAAGGAGTAGAGTGGAGGTGGAGCTGGAGGAGGATGGAGGACCTGTCCGTCCGGTGAAGGAAGCAGTCTTCTCTGTCCCAGAGTGCACCGCTCCATCCAAACACGTGTTTAAAGGCGATTGCTGTTTCCATTCTTGTTTCTGAGGTTGATGTAGATTCATCCAAACTTTGGTGTGATTTAAATAAAATACAATAATCAGAGTTCATTCTGTTCTGATGTCTTTGTTTTTTTTAAACCTCAGAGAAAAAATCTAAATCTTGATATTCGAAATGTGATCAAAGTGTTTGATTCAGGTGGAAGTTTGCACCTCAGTATGGATCCTTCTGGGAGAAACAGAAGAAATCTGGACCTGGTATTAAATCTAATCCGTCAAACACAGACTAAACGACTGATCGTTCCTTCATGCGTCAGAAAGAAAGCTGGACTATTATCCATTCAGACACACCCAGAACATCTGCTACTGATTAACCATCAACAGTAAAGGTTTCACTTTCCCACTAAACCTCTGCTTGAATCCACCTCCACAGCTGCTGGATGAAAACATCTGTCACCAGATGTTCCACATAACGTGGTTCTGTTGGCCCGGATGGCTCCACTGGGTCCACGGTAGTGTTAATACACCTGAGATTAAACTCCCCCCATCAGCAGACATGTTCCACCATAACGAGCTGGAATGGACCTTGTTCCAATAAACTGGTAATAATTAACTAAAGATAAAAACATAGAGACTTTAGTGACGAGGTGCCGATATCAGTTTCGCAGGCTGGATTTTTATCCCTGTAGAAATATTTTATTAACTAATGCATAAAGGGATGAAATAAATTATGTCTAATTTAACTTTTTTCAGCTTTTCTTCCTGTGTCTGCTGTTACTGCCTCTGCCCTGAAGGTGGCAGCAGAGGACCACTTGTTGCACCTGCAGCTGAAGATCAAATGCTCTGATATCTAGCAGGTTTTTTCTAGATTCTTCTATCTGGTTTTAGCTCCTTCACGCTGTGGTTCGCTGGAGAGTAGCTAAAACTCACCGCCTGCAGATTTTATTTCATTCACAGATCTGCGGAAAGATTAACTTTCTTCACTAAACCAGCGGCTGGATTTAAAGTTTAGTTGGTTTCCTTTCATGACAGCAGAGACTATTGCGTGACATAAATGTAACGAAATAAGAGACCATTTTCAGTCTGGACTGAGGAGAAGGTCGCAGGAGAAAATTGGAGGCTTTAGATGCAACTGTTTAGTTTAGTTAGACTGTAACCTGATCCGGGTCATTTTCATCAGATGGAACCACTTTGCTTTAGTCTGGGGTTTAACAGATCCAAATAAGATAGAAGTCATCTGTCTAATCCTAAAGATGATAAGATGTTTTGAAGCCGTAGAAGCAGATATTCCCACGATGGTTCGACGCTGCAGTAGATCAGAAAGCTGATCCAGATGCTGCTGCCTG